GTAAATACAATTGGATTTTTGTTGACAAATAATACCTTTATCTTTTTAAAAATAAAAAATTAATAAAAGTATACAGAGTACTTACGTGTAAGTTTTGAACGAGATTTTCTTTCCCTGAAATTTGAAATGCCACTGCTGACACTTGATAAATGTCAGGCCTCAGATCTGGATCGGGTTCCAGCATGTAACGAATCAAGCAATGCAGCGATTTGCTGTATCTATGGATGAAACGTTTATTAGTACTTGACCATTCATTGTCATCAAATGAGATTAAAGTATGTTACGTTATACCTTGAATTATCTGGAATAGTAAAGTTTCCAGATTGAATAGCAAGAGGGCTTTCTCCAAAAGGCAAAGTGAAAAAACATAATTTGTAGAGCAAACAACCGAGAGCCTGTTAAAATAAAGCGTGTATCATATTATTTGACTTTTCACGTGTACACTCAACGGTATAAATGTTGAAATTGTATAACTTACCCATATATCCGCTTTTGTTGTTATAGACTTTCCACTGTACATATCGACCATTTCTGGTGCTCTATAACTAAGCGTCGTATATTTTTTAATTTCCTCCTCAACAACGGAGGCTCCGTGCACGCTTGGATTAAGCACTTTTCCCGTTGCCGAGCCAAAATCACATAATACATAATTCCCGGAATCAGCTAACAAAATATTTTCCACCTACAGGTACATGGTGTTTATCAAGCGATTATTTCAAATACTTTTTTTGGTCATTTATCAAATTTCACTACTCCATGCACAATAATGTTTATACCTTTAAATCTCTATGTATAATAGGAGTTTGACAATGATGCAGGCGAGACACAGCCTCACAAGTATCGCAAAATATTTGAAGCACTTCTTGTTCACTAAATCCTGTTTGTAACCTGTAAATTGACAATATTTTTGAAAAATTACGTAACATCATTCAGAAAAAACACTGCAAAAATTTTTTCTCAAAAAGTAATTCATACCTGTTGTTCATAATTTGAAGAACTTGGGTTTTACAATAAGGCATCAGGAGAAGGAGTTCGTGAACTCCCCCTCCTGTGTGTGTAATACTGCTGTCTACATATCCTATAATGTTTTTGTGTCCACTTAAGTTACTCTGAAAACAAAATATACGGAATTAAAAATTGTTCAAATTTTTAAATCTTAATTAATGTGACAATAAATTCATCGGCCATTTAACGATAATTAAACTAATTACTACAAGAAAGAAAATAATGGAGGTTTGGTAAATATCACAAATATACTTTTACGAAATATGTATTATCAAATATTTTTCAATGTATTGATGTTTCGTATCCCTGTTATCAACTATTATCAGAGTGTCCAAGGTACGATTGAGAAAAATACTTCAATAAAACTGCTGCTTAGTAGTTAAAATTTTTTAAAACAGTTGTTAAAATACTTTTGTTCTGCTTGAATTTAAATCGTAAAAAGTGCTTACCGCAATTTGTATTTCTCTTTTACAAACATTAAGGTCATGTTCGTTGTTGACGTACATGCGCTTGAGTGCATAGCGAGTACCTGAAGATTTGACTAGGAAGACTATGGCAAATCCTCCTACAAAAATTTTTTAATTATTTCATAAAATTGGCTAAACAAAATTTTAAAAAGAATAAGTGTTACGATAAAAGATTACGTGAGATTATTGAAAGAGATATTTGATGTAAGATAGCACCAGTGGTCAAGGATAGAATGATTTTCCATCAAAGTCAACAACAGACGTTTCTTACTGTCATTGCTGTGGTTGAATACGTTAAGCTTGATTTTAAGTAGCACGCACATTATCTACTAAATAGCTCCAATGCAGGTATATAATATGATGATTAATTTTCTTTGATTCGAATTAAAAAAGATACGAGCATATAAATAATGTACGTGCATGAATAATTATATTTTTTTTTTTTTACGAATGCAGTATACGCAAATTAAGTGTAAATTTGTTTTCTCTGGGCTCGATAAGTGCATGAATAATTATATTTTCTTTTCATATCATCCATTTTTGTTCATTTACACTGATCCTCATCGCAAAAAATATTTATTACTCTATGTCTCCAAATGATTGTAATCAGCTATTTATATATTATACAATCATCAATGCTACTGTCCAATTCAATTATTGATGGCGCTTTTGCAATGAAACGCTGTTCTCGTGTATAATATTCACGGTTAACATCTTGTATTTGTTTTCTGTTTTTTTTTTTTTTTTTTTTTTTTTTTTTTTTCTCAAAAATTGGGGGTTTTCTGTTTTTTTTTTTTTTTTTTTTCCAAAATCAAAAAGTGAAAATGACCCTTTGTTGAAAATTTTGCCTTTATCTATTGAAGTTTTTCAAAACAAATTGTTGACACTTCCATGTTGTTAGTCGTTCGAATAAACCAAGCCAAATAAATACTTACCTACTAAACTTTTTATCTACATAAAAAAAAAAGGGTTGGAAAAAAAGTAGCAGCATATAGGTAGATACTTCGGCTGTGTGCCAAACGTGTGTTTTCTTTTTTTCACCAAACACAAACACCCATCGATTGAAAAACAATGCATGAATGGTATTAATCGCTACTATTATATATAGCTTTATACACTGTGAATACATTATTGTAATAGCTTAGAATTAAAGGATAGAATATATAGTCAGAGAGGAGGTGTCTGATTAGGTCTGCTGCAGACAGTGCAAGTATGTATATCAGATTGATGTATGATTATACAGTGCAAGAAAAAAAAAAAAAAAAAATTTTTTTTGGAAAAAAACCAACCCCCGGGGGTTTTTTTTTTTTTTAACAAGTTTGTGATTAGAAAAAAAAAATTTTTTTTTTATTTCAATGGTGAAAAGATGAGTGTGAAAAATAAAAAAGCTACAGCATATTATGTGTTAGTAGTGCCACCTTATCGTCTGGAACAGTCCTAATCAGATTCTGGGGGTTGGGAATTAAGACGTGGAAAACGCAGAAAATGTTTTTTTACTTTGTATATACTTCATTAAAATAGCTCTAAACTAGTATAACTTGTGTTAGCAAGTGTCGTAATTATATACATGTATTATCAAAAGGATCGATCGAAATAAACAATCTAATGTCAAGTGTTTACTACGGATTAGAAAGTTAGATGAAAATAATACAAAAATGCAATATTAAATGAAAAAAA